AAAACAAACATGTTTTACATTAGACATTGCAAATTACATTCCAATTTCTGCTCTGGGTAATGAAGGAAGACACCTTGTCCATTACCACTGCAAATATGGGTGGTATTTCAGAAGCTAGCATGGAGTTCCCTCTAACTGGTTGTGGGCAGAGTTAGCTCTGTGGGAAGAGGCATATAAAAAAGGGAATACACACTCTGCTCCCTACCAGCAGGTACCTGCCAAAGGGTAGGAAGAACCAGAATGAGATTCACAATCAAGTGATAAGGTTAATGCTGGAACACTACTCATTCAGTGTGACATTACAGATCTTAAAATTTGTTACAAGTAGTTTTTAAACAGTTTATTAAAGCATCCCCTCTCCAGCTAAGCCACATCCCTTCTTCTTTGAAAGTTATAGCGCTTTGGCAATATCAGCTAGGGGAGAATTTTTGACTGTATGGTAACAAATACTTCAGCTTCATCTTAATATATACAAGAAGAGCACAGAATCAAGCTTTGATGTTTCTTCCTCTTAGCATTTCACACCTTGAGAGCTTGTGACCAGTCATGTTGAGAAGTGTTTACTATTAAATATAACAAATTAGCAATAAAAGGGACAGATTTCAGGGAAAACAAGAGGAACAGGATTCAGCAACAGATTATGTGCCTGCAACGTCAGGTTACGTGAACTTGAAACTCTGCCAGAATCGAGCAAATCCTATTTATTGTTGCAAAATCTTTGCCAAAGCACACCCAAGGGCAAAAGTCTCTCAAACAAACACACATAGATTAAAAGCTGCCAGAAAGATCAGCTAGCAGGCTGGCTGCCTTCTACTCCTTGTACACTGGCAACATCATTAGATCAAAGACAGAACCGAGTCCAATCTTTTTCAGGTGCCAGATATTCCTACAGTGGTTTACCTGAGCAAGTCCTCGGCAACTAATAATGCCCCAAAGTGAGGTCATTTTACAGCTTATCCCATCATCAGCTCTGACACACTCATTGAGACATGACTTTAGAGAACACAGTGCAGCAAGCTTGGGAAGACAGCCTGCAACTGTGTGCTAAGATAACCAAATGCAATTTGAGAGTAAGGACTGGTTGGTTTTTTTAACCCCCAGCAGGCTAAAACATCTTTAACCTGATTTTAGAAGTAGGTTGATTTATATGGAGAAACAGAAACATCCTACATTCAGGAAATAAATCCTGCACATAGTTCTGTTGTGAATTTCTCACACAGGGTATTTTGAATGACAAAAAGCTAAGTGGTATAAGCTGCAGAAGAAAACATGTTTGACTGGATTGTAGGAAACCCGTAACAAGCCTCCTCTTCCTCACAACTTCTTATGTCACTTTTGCTGATGCCAGTGGAAAGCCTGTCCAAAGACTGAGGGAACATGGCCTAAAACATGTGTCTTCAGCTAGGAAGATAAGAAACTGGTATCAAAATTACTTTTAAGCTTGGAAGGGTGGAAAGTGAATCATAAAATATAGCACTCATCAAAAAATGAGATAATCCTCCACTGGCAAAGGTGAGCTGGAAGATCCCGTAGTAGCACTTCTGCACTCCCAGGTATATGGTAGTCTCT